CCCCAAAACCCCAAAACCCCAAAACCCCAAAACCCCAAAACCCCTAGCTTGTTAAAAATATTGAAACTTATTTATCCCAATACAATTTTGTCAATCTCAATTTTAACTAAGCATATAATAGTATCTCATAATTTCCAAATTGAGATCCCTCTCTTCATCGAATCTCTCTAGATTCTTCAGGTCTTTCTCTGACATCTCCATTTCTTTATCTATAGATTAAAGGGTATGAATTGCTTTCATTGCTAACATCTTTTAGGCCGGATGCTATCTCTTTATCTGGTGCATCTGTGTACGCTTTGTTAATAAGAAGGTCTAAAAATGATTAAAGAGACTACTTATTCCACCATATCTGAGAACATCTGTTCTGCATAGTTTGTTAGAGCACAGATTTGCCAGACATCTCACAACCTCTGAAAAGTTAGCATGGGATTACCTTTGTGAACTCTTTCTGCCCTAGCATGCTTGAATAACTTTGCAATTATAAGTAAGTTTTTATAGACTGAAGTTGCTGTATCTTGAGGCTCAAGATTTCTCTTCCAATAGTCATGAATAGTCCTTTTCATTGGAACTTTTAAACCTATCTTGCCTTCTAGATCTTCTTCATTCTCATCATCTGGGTCGTCATCGTCATCAGAAACTTCATCTGAATGTGGATAAAACCTATGGTTTTATACAAAGATTTACCTAAGGTCAGCTATTAGTCCAAATGGCTTATCTTCGGTCTTGCTATTCCCAATATATTTAATAGGTTTTGATAATTGTGCTAAAGATCACATTAAGAGTTACCTTCAATAGTTTTTATCTGTTGGAAATCAATAGAAATTCTAAGCTTTCCTTTTCTGTATATAATCATCAAATGTTTCCATCCCATGTAAGTATCCTTTATGGAAGGGGTTTCATATGTATTATCTTCATGTTCATCCTTTGAAGTAGGACGGACTTTTCCATAATCATCTCTAACTCTAAATTCTTTTCCATCTCTAGTGATGAACAAATGATTAGTTTCCCCATCAGGAGATTCAAATAGCACAAGTTCTTTTCCAGTCTTGTTCAAAGGGAAATACATCCAACAAAGTATAGTCCATTCAGTCAGCTTTATTTTTGTTCTGACTCTTTTTCTAATAGCATCTAAAGTATAATAATTCTAAATACCTCCTGTCTCTGTAGTAGTTCCCTTAGTCGTTCCTGTCTTAGTAGGCTCAATTATATGTTGGGAGATAATCTGAGAGATCTCAACTGGAGGGAAAATCTCCAATTTATCACCAAAGTTAAATATTGCACCCCAATTATAGAATACTTCTACATAATTTGTCACCTTTTCATCCTCTAGATTGCCAGATTATTGACTACGTTTGGGAAAATAGATAATTAGACACTCAATATCAATTCTCCGAAATTCCTTTGGGTTATGCTCATAAATATTTCACAAGTAAAAATTATTATCATTCATTTTTTTGTAAAAAGTAAAAACTTGCCAGCTTTTGTTTCTGTGTCTTTGTTCATAAAATCCTGCCCAATTCCTCTTTTTCTTAACTGCTCAGTTCTAAAAGATATTTATCACTGAAATACCTAGCCTTTTTCTCTTCGATGATATATCTGAAAGTGCTAGTTTCTTTTATAGGCAAGTGATATCCTGTATCTTTTGGAATTCTTGTTGGATTTCCATAGACTTTGACATCCCTCACTCATGCAGAGTCGATACCTACTCTTGCTGAATCAAATTTTAGCCACAATTCCATTCCTTCTGGCCTCGACACAAAGCCTAAAGATTAAAAAATTCATACTAGAAAGAACTCTTGCTGCTTCTCTTACAACACAAGGGTGAGGGCTATCTAATAACTTTTCAATACTTCTCACAAAGTTCTTTCCATCAAGGAGATATTTTCTCATTGACTTATTAAGGTTAGTTTGATCTCCCCCCTTTGATGGTTTCTTTATAACTTTTCCTGAATTTTCAAACTCATCTTCTGAAACGTCTTCCACAACATGGTTTCTCTTATTCGTAAGAACATTTAGCATTTTCTCCAGACAAGCCAAGGATTTGCAAGTCAAATGCTCAGAGTTCTTGAACACACTCTTCATTAGGAAATCTATCTTGATAATTTCGTTCTTAATCACAGTGTCTTGGGAAAGTGTAAAGTCTTTACTAGTGATGGTATTATAGTTTTCTATGAGAAGAAGTGCTACTTTGCACTCAGATTTTATTTCTTTGATAAATTCAAATATCTCATGCCCGTTTCCTCCCGTATTTCCCTGCCTCTGAGAATATGCAGATGTATGAAGGCCTATATTTTTTGAGATATCTCTTACCTTTAGTTGTATTTTTAGACTCTTCTTGGCTATTAGGATCATCTTCTTGGAGAGAATAATTTAATCCGTTTGTTTGAGTCAAGATAAGGAACTCAATGACTCTTTCAAAATGAGTTCCTTTAGACAAAAACTCAAAGTCAATGCTACAGTACATCATACAATTAGTGATTGTTCTGAGACATTTGAGAATTCTTCTATAGATCCAGCTAACTTTTGCATAGTATATCTTGAACCCTAACTGCTCTAAATATTATGTTAATTTCTTTCCTTTGCAATATTTAATCTCCTTAAGCTGATCTACAGAGAGCTGGATAAAATAAATGAGTCTTTCAATATAATATCTTGATTCTCTTTTGTCTGAAGTATTATCCTCAATTTTTCTAAACTTATTACAGCACTCTTACTGAAGTATAATAGGATGGCTTTCTCTTTGAAGGGAGATCCTGCTTAGACTTGTAAGAATATTACTCTCGATCTCATTAAAGTTTTCCTTATTCTCCAGGAAGAAACTTCTTTCTATAGGAATCAGAAATTATCTTTACCTTTTTCCATTTCTTCGTCTCTTTTTGGGTCATATTCCTCTTTAATTGATTTTTCTTCTTCAGAAGAGTTGTTGGGTCTTCTAGATATATACTTACTCCTTCTTTCTTCTAAGAGTTGATTGCAAGCCTCTTTAATATCTTCTTGATGGCTGTTTTGATTTGTATCTTCAAAGAACTCATCATCAAAATTATTTTCATCTTCCTTCTTATTCTTCTCATCAACTTTCGTTTCATGATAATTTTCTTTTTGATGAACCTTACTTTTGAGAATATCTCTGTAATATGCTGGCTTATGGTGAAAATAAAGTCGATTTTCCTTGTGGATAACAACATTTAGCAAGTAGAAAAATGGCTCCACAAATACTCTGAAGCTTGATCCTAACCCTGAATTTGGGGCTTCCAGAGAGTAGTTCAGTAATATTTTCGAAAATCTGACTTTATGGTCCATATCGTTCTTAATTCCTATATACCCACGGTTAGAGAGAATTAAAGCACAAGAAAACTTACCTTTCATTTTAAAGATTTCTTTTAACGAATGAGCTTCTTTACACATCAAGAATAGTCCCACTCTTCAATTAAAGATAATTTGCTCTTTGAGCTTTGTGTCTTCGCTGATTGTTGCTTTGTTAATATATAGATCTTCCTTTTCTTTCTCAGACAATTTGAAATTATTGATGCATTTTTCAAACTGAGTAATTGCACTTTGTTTATATCTCACTCTTGAGTTGCTTTATTCTCATTAAAACATAATCAACAGGAATAGTGCAAAGCTAGTTTTATTACTTACAGGTTCTGATATTTTGCACCTTGAGAGCCAGACATTGGCTCTTCATATGCACCTCCATTATCAGAGCTAGACTTAACTCCAGAAACTTCTTCTGGAGGAGATTTTTCTATAGAAATATGTAAGAACAAATCATGAAAATAGAAAATCAACGAAATTTACCCCTTGGATTATTAGTTAGAAAGAAAGAAATAAATCTGTTTAAACTTTGATACATTACTTTATATCAGAATTTTAACTCTAAATTTCAGGTTCATTAGTAAACCAGCCAATCGATCATTCAGAGTTTTAAGAATTGGAGATAAAGCGAAATGTTGTTTTTGGTAAAACCTTTTCGAATGCCATCAGAGAGATAATATCTGAATGTAACAGCCTTATCTCAAACTGATAGAAGAGTTTTATTTTACGATTGCTCCTTAAGAATTTAAAATTTTGCAATAAAGTAAACTTTTGATAAAACTTACAAATTTGCATTTGAGAGCTTTAGAATCCTCAGATAGTTAGTTTTGTAGAGTTTGCAAACAAATGGTTAAAATAATATTAAAAATTCAGAGCAAATTCATAGATTTAAGATTTGAAATACTATAAAGTTAATAAATTTAATGCTTAATCAAATATATTTCAGGTTTAATTAGGTTTAAATTTCTTAGGTCTACTGTAATTTTTGTTTCAAATGTCATCAAACCCAAATTTTGTTATTAAAGGAAAGCTATTCATCTTTTTATATTTTTCAATCATCTAATTAATTCAAAAGTGAATGCACCCTAGCAAACAAAACATTTGGCTGTTGTAAAATATTTCTTAATTGGTTTTGTGCTTAATCGAGCAAACCAAACCCATATAAAATATTAATTTTAGGGTGAATCTCAACATCAATAACTTTGGTTAAATTTTATACTACAATAACACTTCTCCAAAAACTAAAGCTGAACAATAAAATTCCAATAACCTAACTGAAGTGAGTTAGAGATGGCAGCGACCACCAAGATCGAATATGCTTACCAAGTATGATGATGTTGATGACTCATTCAAGACTCAGAGCAACTAATTCTTTATTGTCAGTATTAGTAGCTTTCACTAAAGATTATTGTATTATTTACAGAGAACTTTAAGAGCCATTGGTAATAATTCAGCATCTTTAAATACTGCCCTGTTGTTAGTAAGACTTTTTAAGCATTTTAAGATCTTCACTCTGATTCCAACTATGCTATCTTCATTCCTATAGAGATCAGAAGGAGGCCTTACCAATCAAGTATGTACAGTAGGATTTGCACAAAGTTAAGGTCTATATTGACACCATTATTAGAGCTCTTCAAATTTTGGAAATGAAAGGGATTTTCCTGTTAATAATCAAGAGCCAGGTGGAACACTTAAATGAAATATTAGCTAGTATTTAGTTCACATGTATGTTATGCTCTAAATTAGTATATTTCACTTTTGTTTTAAGAAATTGATGAAAATATGTAGTATTTCGAGAAAATATGCTGGAGCTTTTGAATCTTACGCAAATATATTTTCTTGTTAACCTATAGCATAAAATTAGAAAACTTACAAAATCTGATTTCATCTTGCACAGTCTCAACAAGACATCAATACATTCTTCAAGAACTTCAAAACCTTGGGTCTTAATTTCTTGAGAAATTTTTCTAAGAATTACTCGTCTCAAATGACTTACTTATTCTGAAGAGAATTTAGAGAGAAATTATGGTTCATGATAACTCTAATCAGCATAATTAATAACCCAGAACTAAAGTATCTCTTAACTGTTAATAATTGGAGATCATCAGCATTCTCAAAAGTGATCGAAGTCTAAAATTTAGGAATGAAAAGTACATTTTTCACCTTGCTTTTGAACTTCAAGAAATTGTCCATATTATCGCATAAATACTTTAACTTTCCTTTCTGAGATGATCTGTTGTTGTAAATATCTTTGAAAGACAGTGATAATTTGATATTTTGAGAGATAGCTATTGATTGAGAAAAGACCCACTGTAAAATAATTTATTTAGCTCTTTCATTTTCTGGATTGTCTGCTTCTTCCTCATTTCTTTTTCTCTTGGCTCTCAGAAATTTCTTTTCAACAATATCAATGTATTCTCACATCTTCTTTACATCTAATTAAAGTAAGCTTTAAGGATATAATCTGTTTACAAACGACCATTTCTTAAGCAATATAAATTGGTAGTACTACATTTTCTTTGTTTGTTGCCAACATTTAGAAATAAGAAGTTTTAAATTTTAATCACCAGGAAATAATTCCAATGCCTCAAAACAATAATTTTAACTGAAAGAAGTTACATTTATTTTGAGAGATCTTTGAAGTATGAAATATTTTAATGAGCTTAACCATTCATAAACAGTGAATTTTGTCCTGAGTTACACAAACTTAGAATAAAATCAGAATTATTAGGTGTAATATTTCTGTTAATAAAATCTCAACTTACAGAATACTTCTAGGATTGCATCATGTATTATCTCTTTTGAATTTTCAATTGTGGCAAATTTAAATTTTCTACAAATAAATAATTTCAAATTTACGATTTTGATAATTCTTGCCATGTAAGGGGGCTATATAAAAATTAGAGAGATGTAATCAGGCTTTAAAATTGATAGAATTAAATTTTAAATCTACATAATATCAACAATCGAGCATATCGAAAAAGGATATTAGAAATAATTTATAATCTTTCAAGTATAAAAATTAATGAGAAAACAGCATTTACTGATATGTAAGCTCCTTGCAAACATCAAGTGCGAGAACCTATGCATTAAATGTCAATCTCACAGTGTTATCTGTAGTTTCGTTCCTATAGTGTTAAAGTTAAAAGATATTAAAAAAATCTAAAATAATTTTTTGCAAAACCTCACATTTCATGAAATTTAAAATCAAATTGAGATTTCGTATCCAACATATAATTGAGGTAGTAAGTTAAGATTCTTTAAGCATCATTTGCATAAAGATTGTGAGAACGAGTTCCTGTGATGCTTCTTGGCAGTAAATCTTACCCGTTTAAAAACAATTCCATGAGAAAGGCAAAATTCTTATATTTAATTTTTCTGTGCTTCTCATCGCTAATTTTGTTCAAGAAGAGATCCATATTTTCCTTAAAATATTTAGCTATATATAAGTTTAAATCCTTACGATGAGTAAAACTATCATATAGCAGCTTTAAGATCTCATTCTTTTGTTCTTCTGTAGTTGCCTTATTGTAGTAAGTCTCGAAATGCTCAATGATTTTTAGATCTTCTGAAGACTGCACTGCTTCTTGAGACGAATTACCTCCCATTAAAAATTTAATATTATTATAATTCTTCGAGTAAAAGAGGGGTTTTGGGGTTTTGGGGTTTTGGGG